TCGGCATCAGCGCCGTCACGATTCGCNNNTAGTAAGATTCTGGACAAATAATTTTAACTATTTCCAGACAGACAGCACAAACCCCAGGTGATTTTTGAAGGAAAATTATCTCCGGCCTTATCGTTTCTTTCAGCTAAAGCAGAAATGCTTGACTTGGCAATGTAAAATAAGCCTGAACGATACCACTAAGAGTACAAAACAGTTTAAAACGACGAGCGGACAAAGTTCTAACGACTCAGATCTTTTTAAACACCCGAATTTCGACACTGACATGTTTCAATGAAATTTGACACAGACTGAAGTTTCTGCCATCAAGGCACCCTCCACAGGTAGCCTGTGTAGCAAAGTACAGGAGGAGGGTAGGGAGAAAGGGAGGCATACAGAGTAGTTATAAATATTTCAAGGACTGGATAAAAGATTGAGATCTTTAAACCTCAGCAGGATAAAACTAGTGCGTTGTTCACATCTATACATTATCTGGAATATCTCGTTTTCTTAACGCCGTTTTCTTCTGGTCCCGCAGCATTTGGCAGCCGTTTTAAGTCTCCTACCCACAAACGGCCGCTTTGATCCAAACCACATGCCTACCAATCAGGTAGCAGTAAATCAACAATAACGCCAGTGTCAGCGCGAAAATCGCCGGGGTTTCCAATGAATGCGGTACAAGATGTTGTGGTTCCCGTTCACATTTCCGTTTACGTACCTTGATTGATTACATTATACAGCCTAAATTTTTGGGAAAAGTGTGCCAGTTTTTTTTTTTTTGCCGGCTATGAACATGGAACCGGAATACTACAAATGAACTTAGAGCAGTTATGAACTGAACTTAAAAACTATTTTTATTTTTAGAAGCCCGCTGACGGCAGGTTAGCAGAAAGCGCACAAACCTTAACAAACGATTTTGAAAACAATTTCATTATGTTCATCGAGAAATCGACGAGGATTTGAGAGGCGGGGTGCTTCCAGGAGCGAAGAATTTAGAGAGTTAGTTGGGATAGTGCTAGTGAAGAAATGTACTTGCACAAAGAATGTGGTTCGCATAAAAGCAGCCGTTTGTAGGGAGAAGCGTTGCATTTAGGAAAATAATACATCTTCCTGGACCACGACAGCGACAATTTTCGGAACCCGCGACAGTTTACCCACGACCCGCGCCGTTTAGATTCTCACCGATCAACATTGTAAAGATTTAGTCGAATATAAATTATTGCACACACGGTAGGCTTCCCTTTTCTGCAGTACAGAAACTACTGAGAAAGAGCACTACTCACGCATTGCATCCTGGTTAAACGTGGCCCTTTAAGATATTCACCCTTTAGAGAAGTTGTAGGTTTATTAAGGCTGGTTGTTTTCAGCCCTTTGTATCTGTGTCCCATGCATTTTAGGTCAGTAAAACCTCAGGCCGTCATTGTTGAGCTCTAATAGGTTTCTTCCCTCTAAAGACGCACCACGATGTCCTCTTCAGTCAAATTATCTGCAAAACTCACCGCAATTTTTAACACATGTACAGAAGATTCGACAAACTATATACAAGCTACGTAGGATCAACCTATCCCGCGATGAAACGGTCCACAATTCCACAATCCACAACCTCTCGAACAAAACTTAGCAGCCTCTGCCTATTAAACCTCGTTTTTGTGATCCCGGTTCAGGTCTCAACCGCGCGCCGCCATTTTGAATAAGGCTTTTAACTGCCGTTTTTTCTAGCGTTGGGAGCTGAATAATCAGTCTTTGGAACTGCTTTTCATTGTACTTTGCAAGATGCGCCCGAACTGTGATCGCGTTTCGAAACGGAGCGAGTCCTTGCAACATGCTCACAAGCATGCTGGTTAACACCATGGTAAGCGTAACTACTAAATTTTTCGTACGATTCAAGGCGTATAAATTTAGGTAAGATGCTTCTGCGCTATTTTATTTTAAAGAGTTTCTCTTGATGTAAACTTTAAAGTCTAATTTGCTCCTTAAAGTGCTTGAAAAAAATTAAATTTTGTTTTAATTCACGAGTGTGAAGATAAAACTGAAGTGTTGCAGCGTTCTCTTTCCAAAGTGAACTCACGTGAACAGGTGTCATTAAGCTACTTGATTTAGCATGATTTTCCCAAATCTGCAATGTTACTGCCCTGGTTTTTTCCAAAGCCTCCTGATACATCGTGTGCCAGCCAATATTAACGTCTCATTAAAAAGATATGCCATGATTTTAGCAACTCTATTTTAATTAAATTCCACCTTTAAGTTTTTTGGTATTTCTTGTTTGAAAATTTCTAAATTGCATTACTGCTTCATCCTTGTAAAGAGGTATTACACATTTCTATTTTTAAAACCTGAATTACGAAGTCAACTTTATTTCAATGAGTTTGGAATGTGATACTACAGAAGAGCACTTTGACTGGAGAGTAATACAGTTTTACTTACTTGCCATCTTTCTCACCCATATGACTGTGTGTCTTAAAGTGGGGAAATGAGCGATATCATAATGATTAAAATCTACCCATGTACATGTAAATACATGTATGAAATAATGATGTGATGAATATCTGATGTTATGAAACACTTACAATGGGAAAACCTGTTGCTGGTAGCCTTTGTGTTTAATTTCTAAGCTGTCAGTGATAAGGAGGTGAACTATTTAAATCTTCTCGTAATTCTTACTGCTGAAGTTTTTTGGAGATTGATTTGTGACAATTAGAATGATAGTGGCAGGAGAAACACAGTCAGGCTTTTCCTGTTCAAAAGCAAAGTTATTAGATCTTGGATTCTACATTTAAACTTGGTGAGATAATCAGATGAAATTTATTCATATCTTATGTTTCAATATGGTTTGCTTAGATGGAAAGGTAATTGTAATCATAGCTTCACAGATGTTTTACTCATGAAATAGAATGTTTTGGGGCCTTACAGCCTTCCAATGAAAATGCTTAAATTATTGAAAACAGCTTTGAGTAATCCACTATCTTATTTATTTAATTGTGCTTTTTCATTAGGCTTATAGTTTCAGATAAACTAAAAATTGGTAGAATTATCCCTTTATACAAGAGTGGGGGTCAGACTTTTGTATCTAATTACAGGCCTATCACTTTGTTATCTGTTTTCCATAAAATAATGGAAAAATTAATGTATAAGAGATTATTTAAATTTCTTGATAAGCAGGATGTATTAATTGAGAATCCATTTGGTTTCCATAGAGGGCACTCTACTACCCACACTACAATGCTCATTACAGTTAAAATTCAAGGGGCCATTGAAGCAAAATTATACTCTTGTGGTATGTTTTTGGACTGTAAGTAAAGCCTTTGATACAGTAGATCATAGCATTCTCTTAAGTAGCTAAACTTGAACATTGTGGTATTCGTGGCATAGCAAATGAATGGTTCTAATCATATTTAACTAACGGGCAGCAATTTGTCTCGGTTAATAATTCAGACTCAAACACATTGCATACAAATTGTGGAGTACCACAAGACTGTACTTGGCCCTCTTTTGTTTCTAATCTATATCAATGATTTCATAAATTCTTCATCAACTTTTGATTTTCATCTGTTTGCAGATGACTCAAATCTGTTTTCTTCTGACAAAGATTAACAGCATCTTGAGGAAACTGTCAATAAGGAACTCGGTGAAATTAATACATGGCTTTGTGCTAACAAACTATCTCTTAATATTGATAAAACACATTTTGTAACATTCCATCCTTATTAGAAAAAAATAAATTGCTCTATGAAAATTGAAATAGATGGCAAAACAATAAATGAGCATAAAAGTGTTAAGTACTTGAGAATTCTCATAGACTGTCATCTTAATTGGAGAGAACATATTCAACAACTTTCGAAAAAAATATCTAGAGGTATTGGTGTTCTTTTTAAAATTAGGCATTGCATTTATGTCAAAATTTTAGTTCAACTATGCCTTGCCATCATTCTTCCTTTTTTTTCATACTGCTGTATAGTCTGGGGTAACACCTATGATCATAATATTAAACCACTCCAAAGAATACAAAAGAAAGTGATTCGTTTAATTACCTTCTCTGATTTTGATACTCATACAAGTCCTTTGTTTTTTCAACTTAAAATTCTAAAACTTCAGGATCATATCAAACTTCAAACTCTGTATTTCATTAACCGATTCTTTATCGGCAAATTACCAACGATTTTTTACTAATTTTTTATTAAAACTTTAGATAAGCATAATGTTAACACTCACTTTGCAGCTAGGACTACTTTTTATGTTCCAAAAATTAGAACAAACTAAGGTAAATTTAGTATTGCATTCAATGAACCAATATTATGGAATGAAACTGATGAGAGATTTAAGATTCTAACGCCGTATTCTTTCAAAAGAGAATTATCTACGCGTTTCATTAATTTGTATCAAGTTTTATTACTAATTGTTATGTTTTGGTGTCTCTGTTATTTAGTTATTTATTTCATTTACTTTTTTATTTTATACATGTTTAAGAATTATTTGTTCTGTAATCTATTTCCTTAATAAGAATTTAAAATGTAAAATGCCTCTTTTCTGGCCTTATATTTATTTTTAATTAATATATGGTGGTCACCCAACTAATTTAGCTCATTATTTATTTTGGGTGACCAGCAACTGTATGTACTTTTAATTTATTTCTCGTTTAATTTGTAACTAAGGTAATTTTACAGTTCAAATAAACATTTGTCTTGTCTTGTCTTTGATAATTTTATTCCTGAATTTTGAATATCTGAAAATGATTATGTGTACTGCAGTTTCATGAAATGTATGAAGGTGTTCCTCGCAGTAATAACCCTACTTTTCTAGTGGGTGGAAATAGGGCCTGGAAAAAAATTCAGGCCTGTACAGGATTTGAGCCCATGACCTCTGCCATAACCAGTGCAGTGCTCTACCAACTGAGCTAACAAGCCAACTGGGAGCTGGTCATTACTTTTGGTTGGTATTTCATGAAACTGCAGTACACAGATATGATTTTCATATATTCAAAATTCACTGATTTATATCACTTCGGCCGGCACCTAGTTGGCTTGTTAGCTCAGTTGGTAGAGCACTGCACTAGTATAGCAGAGGTCATGGGTTCAAATCCCATACGGGCCTGAATTCTTTTTTCAGGCCACTAGATAACTAGGGTTATTACCGTAAGGAACACCTTTATACAACTTTATTCCTTTCTCTTCAACATCAATTACTGTTTCTGGAGCACAATCAAAGGAAGTACGTTCTAAAAACTTTTGATTCAGTTAATTATTTGAGTTTGTGAGTAACAATTGATGTTTTCTCATGAAACAGAATGGTTCTGCTGAAGACAACCCAAAAGGAGTGAACTTGACAGTAACAAAGGTGACTTACTGGGAAACTTGAGCACTTAGTAATTACATCCTGGTTTGATATCTGACAATTACAGTTTACTGAGATAATTAAGCCGTCATAGTTCCAGTTTGTTGTATAACCTGCCATGGTCTAAAGACCATGATTTCATAAACATTAGATTTATCTGAGTATTCAAGAGAAGTAAAGAAGCCATGGCTCTCCCGTGCTACGTAAAACGGTAGGCGAAGAATAACGATAATTTTGAGCATGTGCCTTTGATTAGAATTTCGTAAGATTAAGAATGACAATACCCGAATTAACGATCTTTCAAAATATGTAAAGTTTACTCTGGGGAAATGAATGTGGGATTTTTAAGAATTTGTTGAAAATCGTCAACGAAATACCGAAAATCACGCCATGTTGTGTATGCGTGACAAAAACAAAGTCGTTTTTGTTTTAGAAATCATGGCAACTCAAAAAGCGTAAGGGAAGGTACGTTTTTTAGTGGGGTGGGG